ATATACATAATAAGCTGACTTAGAATTCCAAATCCCCTTTCAAAAATTCATCTTGCTAATCTATTCCTTGCTGATCCAGTTCCCTCTGGAACTGGATTGAATCAGCAGGTACAAACTTTGCCCTTCTCTCCTACATCCTGGTGAAAGGTCTATGCGCAAGGGGAAAAAAAAAAAAAAAGCCAAAGTAACCCTGCAACATGTTCTTCTGTGCAGCGTGTCTCTTACTGCTCAAAAGTAAGGCTTAATCCTGGGCTGCTTGTCACTAGAATGAGCCATAGCAGCATGGGGTCCCAGATCTATGCCCCTCGAGGCTTTGGAGACAGCTTTGCTTTCATCTTGGTTGTGTAGTGCTTTGGGCAGCAGCCCAAATGGGCCTTTGCCTCATTCCATAGATGAACTTCAGTTTTTTCCAGGATGAACTGCTGTCAGATCTTTGCTAGCATCAGACCGTGACTAATTTCCTTGATGTAAATCAAGTGCTTAAGGTGTTTGAGGTGCTTAGGAGCTTCTGTGATTCCTTGCATGCAAAAGCAGGAATCATCTGAAAAACTCGTTTCAAGCAAGTCTGAAATGTTTCTCACACCTAAACAAAACTTCAGTAAGATATTATGTAATGCTCCATACTGAATGGGCTGCTAGTGAATTGAGTGTAGAGGGATAGTCATCAATGCTGTCAGTTGCAAGAGAAAGGTAAGCCATCTTTAGTAAGTGTTGCCCCGTGTACATCTGTACCAGGCCTCCAGCAAACAGGATATAGGCATGACTGTTTCCTAGGAGGTTCTACAGAAGAATTGGGCAGTGTTGTTCCCGACAAGTGCTTCCAGGGTTTGGAAAATTCTCCATTCCTGGGAATAGTGCTTGTTGCTAAGAGTCCAGCACTATGCTTATTGTACTCTTACACTTGGAATAAAACATCCATTTTAAAAGCATGAAAGCCACTGTTTTAACCTGGCAATGTTGGTACACATGGGTGGTGAACAAAGGTGTTGGCGTCATGTGATAGTGCATTGAGGATACAGAATGCAGAGCAAAGATAAATTTAGGTCCTATGCTGATAAATGATCTGTATTTTGTATTCTGTTTTTTTGTTTGTTTGTTTGTTTTTAACAAAAAATTGGTACAGGATCCTGCAGAGCAGGGAGGATGTGTTTCTCAAGTTCCCCTCTACCTCTAGAATGTGGCATCTCTGGTTTTGAATCCCTGAATTGAGCAGTGACCTTAGTAAGACCTTTAGATGCCACTTAGTGGAACAAAGTCACTGTCACTCATGTCTCCCTTCCTCACAATGGTTCAGACACAGGGAGGGCTGTGCAGCCCTTCTCTAAAGACAAAGCGTTTCTCATTTCTATCAGTGCATTGAAAGCTTTCCCTTTCACACTTACTTGAACGTTTTTATCCAGGAAGGTTAAAGTTCATCACTTTCCCAAGAAGCTCCTACACAGACTGTTTACAGCTTAAAATTTCGAACAATTCTGTCTCAGATGCAGCTGTTGAGTATTTCTGCCCTTGCAAAGTGGAAAGGGATGTACTAAGCTTCCCCCAACTCCCCCGTGCTCTTTAGATTGTGATTAGTACCTCACGTCTGCAAACAGCAAAGCTGGGACTAGATGTTTTATAAAACTACTGTTTTCTGTTTTTAAATCTGAACGTTAGTGGGCTCTTCCAGATCTGATACGTAAAATTCCTTCTGATTTAAAAAACAAAACAAACCCTAGGATATTTGTTCCCTCACCCCCCACCTCACTCCTGATATCTCTGTACACTCTTCATCACCAATAAGCTATGTGGAAATTTCTAATTCTCAGCTAATTGTTACATTCTAAGCCCAGTTCTGTTTGCCTGCTGATTTTGGAGGATTTTGTTTTTTCCCTTGTAAATTTCAGTTATAACAAGTCAAATTTCTCCTGGTTCTGCTAAAAGATAGCTGGAAGCCCTGAATGATTCCTATTAGAGTTTTATCTCTAAAGCAAGGATGTACTCTAGTCTTTAGTTTATGCCTTGGGTCAAAATACAGTAAATCTGGCTTTTGAACCGTGTGCCAGACAGAAATTGCTGCAGCTGTGTGACACGCAGCAGCGGCAGGCTGTAAATTTGCTCTTAACTTTGCACCAAGCAGCTCTGTGCCAGGTTAGGTGTCATCTGTCCTCCAGCAGCTGGTGGAAGGACAGGAAGAGCACCACCACATATGCTGGCTAATTGGACAGAAATATGATTACCTGTCCGTCCCAGAAACAGATCCAGTTGGCACTGTGTGTCATCCAGCACTACACAAATCTGAGGGTAACTGTGACCTTGAGCTTCTCTCTGCCAAAACAGGAGTAGGCCCTTGAAAGTAGGTAATTGCTAACAAACACTTTGAAGAAAAGTACTTTTCCCTTCCCAGTGTTAGTTTTTTCTTCAGTGTCAGTGGGCTGTTGTCATTTTGTTAAAAACACACTAACTTGCAGGACCATAATTCTCACTCCCCATCCAAAACCTGTTCTAGGAGAGTCATCTTTCCCCTAAAGAAAAATAAAACAATCAACCCACTCAATCCCTGCAAGCTCCTAGCAGTCATTTACTTTCCAGAAGCTTGACATGGCCTAGCATACCAATTTCATCTCCTTCCTTAAAAAAAAAAAAAAAAAAAAACTAAAGCAACAAGTAGGTGAGAAGAATATTTTAGAGATAGATCTGAAGGGAAATGGTAATGGTACAACTCTCAGCCATTCTCTTCTCTTTAGCCCTACTACAGTGAGCAGCCCGAATCCACAGCTGTGCTATTAAAAACACCTGTGATGGGCATTCTAATTAATTTAGGAAACTGGTGAGTGGTGGTGACTGATCCTAATCATGTTGTTAGTTTTGTTTTGTAACAGCTAACTCTGATTTACTTCTGAGGCTTGGCAGCTTGCTCCTGCCTCTGAGCCCACGATAACAAAGAGATGTGGATCTGAGGGGTGAAGGCCGAGCTAAGAGCAGCACCTTCTTGTTTTCCTTGCTCATTAGTGCTGAGTGATGTTTGTGCTTTAGGGCGCGTGAATTATTAGTAGCTGTGTGGTTGGAGAGCAATAAAGCAAGGGAAGAGAAGGTGTTTTGAGCAGCAGAAACTCATTTTTGAGGATTGGCTATTTGTTCTGTACTGTTCAGAATTATTGCCAGCCTACACTGAAGGTTAACCACATTTCAGTGCAGTAGACTCAGTTTATGTACTACTGATAGAGAGTCCCCTGGGTTCCCAAAGTCTGCAAAGGTAAGCGAGCCAGCACTGATACAGCCAAGAGGATACATAGTGCTATAGAAGCCAGCATGTTAGTTACCCACCAGTGCTTACATTGGTGTTTCTGAACACCCAGCCAGGTTCCTGTCAGGCACCACCTGATGCCTGGCTTGTAACGAATCTACTCTTGGCATCTGTGTGTTTCCACTTAAATGGCATATCGTGGTGAGAGCTGCAATCAAGTATCTTCATCCATAAAATTACCTCTGGAAAGGAGCCCTGGACTTCAAAGGCACCCCTTCAAGGAGCAGGACAAGGAGTACAAGGTAAGAGCTGATGCTGTTAACATCATATATATGTGATCTGTCAATGCTGTGGCTCAAGTATGCTGGAATTATTCTTGGTATGAAGTTCAAGCAAGAGTCTTCAAGGAGGTGATACTCAAAACCTCCAGTAGCCACTGTGTTCCTGATGTTAGTGACTGCTCTGTCTATTGTAGAAGCGATTGATTCATTTCTTTCTCTCAGCTGAGTACTTGCAAACAATGCCAGAAGCTACCTGTCTGTAGCAATGGTCCTGTAGAACTTGGCAGAAGGTCCTTTCTTTGCAATTGAGTCCTAACCGTGTTGGCTGAGTCCCCAGGATCCTTGTTGTTACCGGTCTCATACTGCTTTGTCTGACCAAGGTTTTCCAAGGGGCTTGTGGGTTATTAATGGTATATGCAGCAGCTGAAATCTGTTTTGTGCCTTAGTGGGCCTTACTGCACTAGCAGGCATCTTATAATTGCATATTCAACCAGGCTTTCCTGTTCTTCTCCTTAATTAATACCATGGTAAAAGGGCAATAATGTACGTAACTGAGCCTGGTTTAGAAGTACTGTTGGTCTGAGTCACGTGCTTCTAACTTTTGAAAATTTGCTTCTGCTAAAGGAATAATAGAATCTCTGCACTTCTTACTAGCAGTCTCATGACCACATTGCTCAAATCCGGAATCCATCTAGGAGAGCAGCAGGTGTGAACCTCAGTTTGTTTGTATTCTGTTGTGATCTATGTGGGAAATGACTCCAGTCTTTCTTACCCGTCTTGTTTAATGGATAGAAGATGCCTGCTGGCTTCATATGATCTAGTAAGAATTTCTAGAGATAACAATTATAAGTCTGAAATTGTTCAGCATGAAATATTTGTTGTCACTTGTGCAAAATGAAGTCTACCTTGCGGTGCTTATTCAAAAACAGCTCAGTAACGTTATTGCAAATTTGCTTTAATTAGTTTGACTCTATTTACATATTAGCCATAGGCTGTAAGTGGGTAATTGGGCTCCCCCCTTTGCAAAGCAGCTGGCAAAAGCGTGTTCTTCACTGTCTGCTAACAGCTGCTTGTGTGTGAACCCATCCAGAGCACTAGCAGCACAGGTAGTGCCACAGAGGCAATCTGCTGATTGTGGACGTGCTGTGAAATTAGTTTACTTGCCATAGCTGTGTGTGCCACTGCTGCCACGGCCCTACTTGTTGCTTGTCACCTCCTCACCAAAAAATGGTAGTCAGGGTGGAGGTAGAGCCTTATCAGAAGTGTCTATCAGAAAAGCATCTCAGCCAAATACACTGGAGTTTAGTTTAAGTATGCCTGCCACTGGAAAGGATCTGTTTTAGTTTCACCTGAAAATTAAATGATTTCTTGAATGCTTCAGTTTTGTTACCAAATAGCTACCAAGCTGGAGAGGCAACAGTATTATTAAGGCAATGCCCTACGTTTGACCTTCCTGCTTTTTGTACTGCCTGGAATGGATGACACTGAAAGGGGTGTTTTAAGGGAGTGTGTGTGTATTTCTCGATATCTTTGTTTTATTTCTGACAAGTGCTGACACACTGATAGAGCAAGCTGCATAGATATGGCTTATTAACTACTTATCAGCAAGATTCTTCACCATAAAGCACAGAAACTGAATTATGAGAAAACATTGCTGTTTCTTTTCCATTTCTTTATCAGCCTAGAGTTAGCATGTGGGAACCAAATGCTACAAGAATGGGTAGATTTTGAAATATGTCGCCTTTTGCAGTTGTAACAAACAGGAGAAAACTTGACTTGAAAAAAAAAAAAAGATAGGAAAGGAACCAGTTTCCCGAATTTAACAGCAAAAATATGAAATGCTTTGATGGGGGAGATACAGTAGTCACCATCTGTCTGTCAGCTGATGCGGACCATATGGTCTGTGTAGGCAAAGACAATCCATAGAAGGATTTCAAGGTAGCCAGGACTGGGTACTGCAGTGTCTTGTGTGAGGCTGTCTGTGAGGAGTCTTAGCAGAATCCCTATGTCATATATTGTTAGAAGAGTTGCATCTTAGAGATTTATTTTAATTCAGATCGCTTGCAAAATATTTCAGTATCTGCTGGTTGATTAGTTCTCTTTGTATTCAAGCAGATACATTAAATCCTTCGCTCTTTAGGTTTCCTCTTATGCGGTATGCAAGGATCTGTTGTCGTTGTCTGACAGTTGCATTTACGGTGCAGTTAACTAATTGGAGGCTATTGTGGACTCTTGGCACTGCCAGTTCAGACTTGGTCACAGGACACTGTCGTTGACATCCTCAGCCTGTGTGAGTACTGCTGTTAGTACTATGTAGTGCCTGAAATGACATTCAAATTCCTGCAGTTCTTCTGAGCCTCTGCTGATGGGAGCTGCTAAGAGCCCTAATGCAGATGTGCAACATGGTAACTTGGGCAAGCATGGGAAAGAAAGTGTGCTGTGTGTGCAGGAGGACAGAGAGGGCCTGCAGCAACTTTATTTCATTCTGGAATCAAGAAATGAGAATATGATAACGCAAGTGCCTTTGACTCTTACCATGCTTAATTTCTGAATAGAGAGAAGTGGCACAAAGTACTTAATGATCTCTTGCAAAGTATAGTGCTGGTAGGAAGCATTCCTAAATGCTGGACTGGCAAGACTGCTAGAGCTGTAACCTATGAGGTGCAATGGACCTGCTCAGCACAGCTTCTCCGCAGAGGCTTTGTTGTAGCACAAGCACATTAGAAGTAAATGGAAAGGAACCCAGCCAAATCTGTGCCAGCTATTCCAGAGCTGCAGAGGCTGTAGATAATTAGAGACCGAAAAGCCGGTGGGCAGGAAAGGATCAGCTGGGTGAACAGAGAAGTTGAAAGGAGAATGCACTGAGGGCATGTCTGTACAGACTGCATGTGGAGGCAACCAGCGCTTCTTTCCCAGGATCAGGGCAGGGCAGCACTGCTAGAAAGCTTTTTTTAAACATGAAAAATCCCAGCAAGGTGTCAGAGAAACCATCCAATTGAGGTAAAAGCAGGCCTTGGGCTCTTTATCTGCCCTCGTTTGGCTGTCCCAGAATCCAGTGCAAACAGAGCCATGGATGACCTTGTGACGTAGAAACTATCTGCTTTCTGAGAATGTGTGCTTCCTGCTCTTAGCTTAGCCCTCAGAAACAGTTGCATGATGTGTGCAGTGAGAAGAGGGAATCCGTGGTGGAGGTCATGGCTGCTATGGTGGTAAGGGTTGCTCGCAGGCTGACTGGAGGTGCTCCTCCATCCTGGACAAGCAGAATTAGCTTCTTTTTCCTTTAGCATAGTCAAGTTCTAAGCAGGGTTTTTCTCCCAGATTCTGATGGCAGCAGTGCTGAGAGTGGAAAGCACCTTTGTGAGAAACCTGAGTCCTCGTCTTGCTGAGATGAAGACAGCTTTTTTCAGACAGTGTGAGCCAGAAGTTGTTGAGGGGAGAGAGGATCAGTGGGAAGGAAGATGAAAGCAGTTATTTCCTGACTGGTAAATGTAGAGGGCAGTATAATGGGTTGTTCTTGGTCAGCTGGAGCAGACCTTGTATGGATGTTTGTTTTCAGTAGAAGAATATTTTCAAAGTCTAAGGACTGAGGCTACACTTCAGCAAATCTTTTCAAGGTAAGACCCTGGCACAAAGCCTCGCTGCCCATTCCTTTCAGCTGTCCACCAGCCATTGTCATTTTCTTCAATGACAGCGACGATGTCTCCTTCGTTGATGTCCAGTTCATCCATGTTCTGCAAGGGGACAGGGGAAGGAAATGTTGTTAACCTGAGCATGCAGGAGTGACCCACATGTCTTGTGGGTTTTTGGTTTTTTTTTACCCTGTCTTTCATCAAGAGTCTGTCAGTGTCCTCTTGATTGGGAATGAGCCTAAAATACCAAACAGTGGAGGATTAAGCACCTACTGAGCTGCCTATTTCCTTAAGATCCTTGGAACGTTCCCCAGCCTCCTGTTGTCTCCTCCTGAGTAACTTTTTTTATCATAAGGGAAGGGTGGAAAGGGTTAAATGTGACTGTCCCAAACCAGCCAGCCATGAACCTTCCTTACTCTACAGCTGTTGCACAATTGAACAGTGCAAGGCTTAGTTTCTGGCAGAGATAAAAACAGTATCTCTATAAATCAAGCCCATAAATAAGACTCTTGGTTCTCTTAATAACAAACAGTGGTGACCAGTGGAGGAACTTTTAAGCCTACAGATTAAACTGTGACAGTCCTTTTGGCAGAGACTGATGGTGTGGCAGGAGTCGATGTGAAGAAGAAAGTATTTTTAACCAGTCTTGAGAAAAAATATAGAGGAAAGAATCATTTTATGGATTTGGATGAAATTATAACAATCATAATATGGAAAGCGAGAGCAGGTGTCCTACATGCTGTATGTTTTATTTACACTACTCTTTGAAACCTGTGGCTGCTGTGAAATAAAATATTCATTAGATGCATCAAGGGCCTGAGCCACTGTGTCTTGGTCCTTTTTCTTTCCATTTTTGGTGTTTTAGAAGGTAATCTGCATGATAGGAATAATGATGTCTCTCTCTCAGAGTTCATCTACAGGTGAGGAGTCTGTGTTTTTGAAGCTTAGTACAGTGGTTTGCCCTCTAATATTGTAATCTTACTAATGGTATTATGCTGAGAGAGGTCTGAAGCCAGTGAGAGTTTAATACCCGGGTTAAGGATGCAGGTTGTGGTTTATAACACTCTTTTGGTACACAGGCCAAGTCTGCTGTGATTCTGCAACTTGCAACACTGATACTCTGTCATTTCTGGGGATTCAGTCCTCCCCAGCGTGGAAGAGACCTCAGTTAAAACCAGTGTGTTATACTGGAGCAGGACTCTCCAGACGATGTGCGAGATCACATGGAGAGGAGTTCTTAATCAAGCATCCATCATGTAGTCTGAGATCTGCTATAAAGCTGCACTAGAGTTTATAAGAGAGAGCTCTACCTATTTTCTTACTCAGGGAGGACATTTCACAGAAAATGTAAGTTCAGAATGCTCAGTATTGCACATCTGGCCATCATCACCAAAATAAAGTTTTCCATGTGTCCTTAGGAGATTGCAACAGCTCAGGACCAATTTAGACAAGCATAATTACTTGCAAAGAGACTTATTGTTTCATCCTGGGCAGAGCACGGTCCAGTGATCTGTGCCAGCAGCACTAGGTGCCCTCGTCTGAAAAAGGAAGGGAAGCTAACAGCTCCTTTACACAGTTAATGCTTTCAAGATGTTTAGATCAGCATTCGGTTTTAAATCTGACACTGTATGCAGTATTTAGTTTGAAGCCTTTGTTTACCTGGGCTGTGTAGTCATAAAGTACTCTGTAGTCCTGTGATGATGTAGTTCTTCCATGTTCATTTACAAAAATGTCTGCGTAGACCCCATCTGTTTTCTCTGCTTGTGGAGAGGGGGGAAGGAAAAACAGAAACAAAGGGTTCAGTTGCTTATAAATGCATGGGATCATATGCAAGAGTTCACAAATACAAGGGTCTCTGTTCTCTCTCTGTCTGGAGGTGTACGTGTATAGAAAAGCTGCTGTGAACTGTAGGTAAATTCTCGCACAAAAACTATGTGCCATTGATTGGGTGACAGTGCAGCCATTGAACCTTCTGGGAGGTCAGAAGCATTAGCTTCATCCAGGTTAGGAAAAATGTTTACCCCGCTAAAGCACGATCACAGTAGTGCAAAGAAGGAAGTACTGTGAGTAAATTGGTTTAAGATGTTTGCTACTGGAGATGTGGAATTCTGGCAGTGCAGTGATTCACACAGGGCTTTTCTTTTTCCTTTGAGAAAAGTGGAAAATACCCATGTTGGTGTGGTGGGTCATCAGACATTTTTCATTAGTTCATGTAGTTTCCATTTAGCCATTTGTCACAGATAGGACTTTTCTGAAAGAGATTTTAAACTAGCTTGACATAATTAAGGAAAACTCCTGTCATTCAGGAAGAGGCAGAGCTAGCGCTATTGAAAAGAACCACCTGGGTCTCTTCTGCTGTTTTTGTGCTCGTGATGTAACCACAGTGGTAAAATGGAAGAACCAAAGCCTTGCTGCTGTGGATGCTGTTGTGCTGACACAGTAGTCCAGGACTGCTCTTGTGTATTTCCCAAGCACACCTTTGCTTTCAGAAGGGCTGTGTGGGGAAGAGAATGGCAGTCATGGTGTCAGCAGTCATGGTGTCAGCAGTCCAAACCTTCAGGGCTGGCTAAAGATGAAGGGGAGGGCAGGCTCTAATTGCATGCTCATAACCTGGTCTGTCAGCCCAGGTGAAAACACTGCCTTAGGAGGTTTCCAAAATGTGATGGCAACGGCGTGCTAAATGAGCAGCAAAGTCTACTTGGGCTCCACACAATATCTGAGTGAGAGATGGGCAGCCAGCAGGGCTCTTTCTGCAGTTAGAGGGAGATTATCACACCAGGCTTTAGCATAAGGTGCCACCACAGATGCTGTTTACTTGGATAAAGTCGAGATCTGCTGTTAAATCCAGCATTTGATGTAATATTGTTGTTTATTTCTGGTAAATTTTTCCATATGTAGTCGTTATACAGCTCTGCAAGAGGCTAAATGCCTTCAGGCTGTGTATGTATGTGGATGCTGCTGCATGCTGAGTTAAGACGGCTGGGGTCTGGCAGGTCCAGCTGGTGCCTGATAGCTCCAGAGAGGCTCTGAGCACCAAGTGCAGCAAGTGGGGTAGCTGCAGCCTCATTACTGGACATCCAAGCAGGCAAGGCGTGCCTCGCAAAGGAAGTTGGCCTGAGTACGTTTAAAAGCTGTTTTAAAGGGACTTTTTGATTTCCTGTAGGCAGCAATCTCGGTTCAGATGTTCCTGGTTTAAATGAATAAAAATGCTGTAAGCTGCTGCTTTCTGCATGGTCAAAATACTGTTTTAAATGTCCTACTGGTAAATGCCTGACTGCAAAGGTTGTGATAAGGCAGTCCAAGTGTGAAATGAGATGAATATTTGTATTCATAAGGCATGAGACAGGTGTGTTAAAGACTTTAGGGAATCCCTTGTGCTTTTTAGAGGTAGCATACCCAACGTTAGGAGAATACTATTATCTATAGTAAAACTGCATTGGTCTGAAAGCACGGTATACCCTTGCCCAGATAGAGGTCTTGAAGTTGTTACGACCCTAAGGTTATATGGATTATTTAGTACTTCAAACTGGGAAATTTGAGCTGGATTTGTTTTCAATCTGCTCGTACTCTTGCCTGACATCATGTGAACGTGTGCTGTAGAAGTTCTGCTCTGTGTTAAAGCTAGATTTAGCAACTGATGTTATACACATCTGGTAAATTTACTTCTGGTGAGGCATACCGAAAGGAGGGGCTGAAGGAATGACTCTTTCAGCATTGTTTTTGCTGCTTCCATGCAACAGTCCAGAGAATCTGCAGAACCAAGAGAAGTCAATGACAAAATGAGTGACCAGGACATTTCTTACAAGTCTCAGCTGTCAGACTCAACCTTCCCCCCATGTGCTGCAGTGCTGCATGGATATCATCTCTTCCTGCGGCCATCTACTTTCCTTTGTCTATAGATATTCTTATCTTCAGTTAAAGTAAATTCTAAACAAAACCTCAGAAAATTTACAAGAGAATAAAATTCCTTTAAGGAAAACTAATGCAATTCAAAATACAAAGCTTTTATAACATAACTTTCTAGAAATTGTGAAGTTATGTGAAATTATTTTGTTTCCTTTGATTTTATTTTTTTTTTTTTTTTTTTAAATCTCACCTAGTTGTTTTCAACATCACAGCTGGATACTGGCTGGGACCAGGCCAAGTGAGAATATGGTTTAGGATATAGGTATAGGTAGCAATAGTATGGAGTGCTTAAAACATATCTGGAGGGTTTGATTTTTCAGCTGGTGTATGGTCATAGTTTCAGGAAAATGGATATCTAAGCTCAGCAATTTCTGAGCAACTGAGACTGAGCCTCTCAAGGCTGTTTGCTCCTGCAGAGCACAGTTGTATTCTAAATGGCCATACAGTTGTCTTCTGTAATTGCAGAGGCTGCAATGTTACCATTCATTATTATATAAAATCTTGTTTCCAACCAAAAGCCAAATATTGTGTGAACCTTTTCAGCTTGCTAACAACCCCCGACCACATTTAAATGAAAGATCCCATCCCACTCTTTGTCTTTGCTGTATAATAAGGCTTGTCAAAATATTAAGCTCTCTTGCTTTTAAATACGATGCCATTCCTGCCATGAATTGGCCATTTTGGTATAAAATATTTAAACCAATAGCTCTACCATGCTGTTCTGCTGATATAACTGCACTCATGTTACTATATTTACCAGCCTAAATGGATTAGAAAAAGAAAAACACCTCCCTTATCATCACAGTTATTCCACTAAGTATTTTTTCCTTTGGTCTAGAGACAGTAGCCCTTTGTTCTGCTCAGCTGGGCGTTGCAATGCACTAAGCCAGGAGGTTTTGCTGAAAAGGACAGCTTTCCCCAGCCTTGGCTCCCAGCAAGGCTCACCTTTGCCCTCCCTTGATGGGAGCTTTTGATGCTGTGTGCCATGACTCACTAGGAAAGAGGAAATAAGTGTGAATGCTCTCCGTTGCCAGCTGACTAATTGTTTTATGAACTTGTCCTCTTGTCTCTCTTCCCACTAGGCCAAGGCAAAATGGTTCTGACTCCAGCTTTGACAGGTTTACTTCTTCTCTCAAGTTAACTTTTATTTATATGCAGCCATCTCTTGCTACAGTGAAGGGCTTTTCAGGTCCCGTTTACTGTCACAGAAGCATGGAATCACAGAATGGCTTAGGCTGGAAGGGATCTTAAAGATCATCTAGTTCCAACCCCCATGCCATCATCATGCACTGAGAAATGCTACTTCTGGGAACGAAAGTCTAGCACTCACCTCTTCATCATCCCACAAGTCTGGGTTGGGCTGTTGCTTCTGTTTGGTTCTCTGTCATAGTAGTTCTCATATCCTATTGCACCTGCAATACGGCAAGAAAAAAAAATGATGTTCAATCAGGCAAAACCTATTTCTCTCAACCAGAGTACAGCCATCAGTATAGCAGTTCAGGAACTGCTGGAAGAAGCAGCACATAACATCCATTTGCACTTGCCAGTAACGTGTTTGGAGCAGGAGGATGTAGGTGCTTGACAAAAGCCATTCAAGTGATTGCATGCGGATGCACTCTTGGTAGAAAGGCATTCTTAACCTGGCACAAGCACAGTCGAGGTCCTGAGGAACCACTGCAACAACAGTGAGTAACCCTAATTCAGAATGCAGTTTAGCACATGACTGTTTCCTCTGTTTTTTTTGAATCCCAGACTTTATGGGTTGCACAGCATGGTTGCTGTGAGCCCATGACCATGTTCCTGATACAGTTGGTGGCAGTGTATTTTCTTTTTTCCGTAACACATTGAGCTGAGTATTTCTGTTGGAGCTGGGCAAATTTCTGAATATCTCTGGGAGCAGCAATAGCAAGAAATTTCCTGGTCTGTGCTTGTGCACGGCTTCATATCTTTCGTATCTTCACCTCCACCTCCTGAGAGCTGATTTGCTTTTTACTGCTGCTTCCTACAGCGATAGCTTTCTTGTCTTGAACACAGTTATGTTACAGTCCTTTCATTCTCCCCTATGGTGTGGTTGAGGGTGAAATTGAGCTTATTTACAAATCTAGCTTTCCAGATGAAATAGTTACAGATGGATTTATTTTTCATCTTATAGCTGCCAGTGCAGTTGCTTAGAGCTGGTGGTCAGGCACCCTTTCTGCCTTCTCAGTGTGAAAGCCAAACAAATACGAGTCAAATCTGATTTGGAAGCCCTGATAGCCTATTATCTCAGTTCTGATACCAGGTAATTAAATAAGATTTTGAACTTAGACTAAAGACTGTGTTGAAGTTTTCACATTGGATTAGCCAAGACTATAAACAGAGCAGGCACGTACAATAGTGAGTGCAAAGAACTCCTACAACAGAAGCTCACAGTATTAAAGGATTTTTATTTTTATTTTTTACCATTTTAAGAGTCTGCATTTCTTACCCTTCCAGATTTTCTCCTGCTGTAGTTTCTAGCCTGTAATTCGTGTCATGACTAAGTAGAAGAGAGAGCAACAGCATCATGAAACCTAAAGGTTTGGTCAGGATGAAGATCTACCTCTACACAATGCAAAACCACACATGGATTTTTTTCCCCCTGCACTTTGCAAATAATAAATGAGATGAACAGCTCACTGTGTGCTACTGTGCAAACTCATTAGCAAGAGCTGTAGAGGTACTAGGGTGTTACTTCCAGAGCATGTCACCTTCTAGAAGGTGGCAAAAAAAAAAAAACTGAAACAGCAACAACAAAAAGAAGCTAAACCAAGAGTCAGGTGTTTCTTTGCATTTCACAAAGCTCTCAAGAGTTTCTCCCACCTATTTCTTATTAGTCCTGACATAGCCAAGAACTGTTTGCAGAAAATGACCTAGGTGACTGCAGAATGAGAAATCTCCCATGAGGAGGGGAGAGAGGGAGCCAGCCTAGCTGAGAATTACAATTCTTTGTATACAATTGCAAGGTGCATTTTCACTGACTGGAAAGAGAACTGTAGCTTTTCCTAGGTCAGTGCTCTTGTAGCACTCAAACTTCAATCCCCTATGAGAAGAGGAATAATCTGTAGCAGCAAAATGACATCCAAGCACAAGCATCAGTGTATTAGTTTAAAAAAAAAAAAAAAATTCTCTAAGTCCTGATTCTTAATTGTCATGGGTGTAATGAGAAAAGGCTAAGCAGTAAACAAGCCTTAAGTAGCTCAGTGCTGGATTACTAGCAGCATCCAGTCCTGCTAAAGAAGTTGCCAGGCTGCTACTGCTGCCAGATCTGGGCTCTAAGCTGCTCCTGTCAAGATTATGCCATGGGACAGGACACTTGTACTACTGATGTTTGCACCTATAAGATCCCTAGCACGGAAGACTTTTGTCAATATACAATTTTCTTATGCCAGTATGGCTTGTTCCGTGTTCTGAATGGAAGTAAGCTCTCTTGTGACTCCTGAGTCAACTCTGAGGGGGTTCCTCTTTGGCATCTCAGAATAGCATTACAGCAGATTGCGTATGTCTGCAGTCTGTGTACACAGATCAAAAAAATAAAGAAATGGAGGAAGAGATCTTTTCAGAATAGAGATCTATCGTCAGCTGATGATGAGATGAAAGAGGGAATTTTCTGTTCTTTTACCAAGGCTGTGAATCTTTGTTTGCTGCAGGCAGTGCAGGCATTCACTCAGTCTGTAAATATCTGATACTGCTTGTTGAAGTAAGAAGGTGTGGTTTGTATTTGGTCACTGGAATGTAAAATGACCTAATTTCTGATGATGTGTTTGGAGAACTCCTATCCTGGAGCAGCAGGTTTTCAATCTACTACTGCTGTTAGTTCTTCCTGTCCTATTCTCCACCTGTCCTATTCTCCATTTCAGCTCAGAGATTTTGATCAGTAAAGTTGATGAAGAGGCTTCTTGTGGGTTGAGTGGACAGTCTGTGAACTTTACATCACTACTGCATACTAGGACAAAGCCGATTTCATTCAAAACTTTCCCCAGTTAGAGTCGTGTCCATACACAAACAACTTGTTAAGAGAAGAAAGCGTCATTCCCACCATGGGTGAATGGGTGGTGGGAGCAGAGAATCCTTCCTTTGGCTTTCCCCAGTGGAGTGGGCTGCCCAACCACAGGCTAATGGCTGACTCATCAGCTAAGACCAAAAGGAATAATTACCTGGAGGTTGTGTTCCTGTCATTTTACTCTTAATGAAGTAGTCTATGTCTGACTCTACGACGCAGTCCTCCAAGCTTACCCGAACCTCTTCATACAGCTACAAAACAGAATTCAAGAATTTAATATTTAAGCTTTCATGTTGAATTAGCTTTTTGATGTTCTTCTAATGCTTTTTCTCTTTAAAACCACTGCAATTGGTACACGTCTGTCCCCCATGCAGACATTCTTGTAAACGCATCTGTTATTTATGTTCTGGGTATCTTTTCATGAGAGGAGGAAGGAGACAGTCCAGGGCTTTTCAATGCAACTGACATATTTATATAGCAAGAGCCAGCCAGTGAAAGTTAAAACTCAGGCATACTGGAATGAGGAATGTGACCCACATTTTTTTTTTTTTTAGGATGTGATCCACAAACCTTCAAATAGGTGGAAAAATTGAAGGAAAAAGCAAAAGGCCGTTACGGAGTGGTGTATGTTTTATGTCTTCCTGCTCTGAGACCGTAACTGCCTGCCTTTCTGAAGGACATGCCCAAGCACTCCTACTCAGCTGAGCAGTCTGGTATTTGGAGGCACTACCCAACAAAAGAAGGAGGGCAGACATAGTGTTCATCACACATGCCACACAATATCTAAACCCATGTATCTGTTTTGCATCTGGGGAAGAAGGAAGGAGAATGATTGAGAGGACTTCATGGAACATGCTAGAGCTGCACAACAGCCAGTTTGATTGCACGTGCAGAGAAGGCCAGGCTAGTGCTGTGCTTCCAGAGGGCTCCTGCAGTTTGTCTTTTGCACGTGAAGGTCCCTGATTTTGGCCCCTACCTCGTCATCCTTCACGCACTGCATAGAGAGCTGGTTGCAGTGAACCCACAGCGAGTTCCGGAGGATGGTGATGCGGTCACACTCCTGGAGCTGGAAAACCTGAAGCCAAAGAGATGTGAAGTAGTGCCATGTTAGTTGTATTGCAATATAGCACAATGCTGTCATGAGGGGTTGTATTTGTGCTAAAGGGAAAGCCAGAAATATCCATCTCTGCCTTCTAAAGTGTCTTTCCAGACTTCCTCTTTGGAACTATTTGAGGCTCTCTGAGTTTGCATTTGCTCATTTCTAAGGTTGTTTTCAGGGTAAGATAAGGTGTTTTTGTGTGTGGTTTTTTGTTGGGTTTTTTTTTTTTTTTTTTTTTTTTGTCTCTCCACTCTCTCCCTCATCTGTCTAATTTATTAATGTTGTACAGCTTACTGGATTTGCGGAGAGTGAAAGGGGGAAAACAGGATAAATATGTATTGAGATGGTGGAAGAAGCAGATAAACTATCTCTGAAAGCTTTAGAAATTGGGTTCTGTTGTTTTATGTTCCAGTGTTAGAAGTAGAACATCGTTTTTTTGTTTTCTATGAGGTGTGAAAAGCTCAGATGCTTCCAGCCATCTGCTTGCATCTCCAATTGCTAGTAATTATGTCCAGAACACCACAAATGTATACAGTATTCAGCAGAATACTTGGGTGTGCTGCCTGCCATCGAATATCTTACTTAAAGATAAAAAGAGTCAATTGAGGGAGAGCCAGCTGGTGTTGGGATCAGTTTCTGAGAGAAACAGCTTATTAAGAGAACCTGTAGGGTAGGGAAATTAGTATTTTGCTGTCCATGCAGAATAAAAAGCCTATGGATACAGCCTACCCCCAGGGGCTGTTCAACTGGGAACTTACCAGGCAAATGATGCCCTTGCAGGAAATGCAGCTCATCAAAGGGAGAAACAGAGCGACTTGGGGTTTGTCAAACCCTTTGCATATTGCAGCTGCATGCTGTGATAGGCACATCTCTCATGCCATCAGCTTGTGCGACAGGCCTGCTTGTGAGCCCAGGCTGCTTGTGCCAAGGAGCACAGCCCAGCCTCACAATGAAGCTTGTCTCAGTGCTTGTACTTGCTAGCCAGGATTTTCAGGCTGTGGATGTCCCATGCTTAGCCACAGACCTTCACACTTCTAGCTTTTGTGCTGTGCAGCCAGAAGTTTGGGATCTTAAGCTGATTTTTTTCTATCAGTGAGCAGTTTAAAAGGTCTCATGAAATCTGCTCCTTCTACCTACAAGCACTTCTTAAAGGAGGAGTTAGAAGTGCCATTCCTTCATGAGTGGCTGTCGGAGCTAAGCAGTGGGCAGGCCGCAAGCTCTGTGGGCTACAATGAATTTAGCCATGTGGGAGAAAGTCTTCTAAGTCGTGGAAAGTTTTGCTTGTTTACTGGCTTTTTAAGAAGGGGAAATTGTGCATCTTGGGAAAATTAAGGCTTGGCAAAGTTTCCATAGAAAGTTTGCAGTGGCAGCCATGGGACTTTCCCAGTGTTCCCAGGTAGGGAATTTAAGAGGAAGCAGAGAACCAGAAAGCTATTTTATGTAGGAGTAAAACTGGAAAGAAGTAAACATAACAAAACTGTACTTCAGCAGATGGACAATGTACCTGAAGGATCATTATAACCAAGTGTGTGTCTGATCTGGATGTCAACCAGATGTGAGCTGGCGTGCAAACCTTAGAAACCAAGAGCAAATCTCCTTGTCCATAGCAGAAACAAACCTCCCCCAGCCACTATCCTTCAATGGAAGAGATTAGTCCTTGGCAGGGAGCGAACGTTCTTGCAGGTGAATGTAACATGCTATGTGAAATGTACAGGCTACTCAGAACCTTGTCTGCTCTACAATGATGCTACCACGCTTTTTTGCTTAGTGTGAAAACTTTCTTTTTAATCTGCATTGAACTTGTGATATTTAACAAACAAAAATCAAACAAGCAAAAGCTGTCCTGCAAGAAACCATTCTGAAAACTTCTTGCAAGACATAATTTGGAGGGAATGTTTGTTTTTAATGGGCTGATTTAGCACTTCTTGTTTCCATTCTGAAATTCATCTTTTAAAAGAAGTGAATTTTCATGTGTTCCTGTTAATCTTCTACTGAAACTACATTCTGACAAAAAGCAGTTGCAAAACAATCTTGGCTATGATAGAATATCATCATTAGAGCTAGTGTCTTAAGTTCCATTATAGGTGAAAACTGGCAAGAAATGCAAGGTTGTACAAGTTCATATATTGTTCCTGCCTCAATCCTCTGCACTTATTCCCTTCCTGTATATTTACTTACACACGCTGAACAAACAAGAAACATGGAAGTGAGGCATCTAGTAACTATGTCTGAATCTGTTCTAGATTCTGTAGTGCAAAGACTCAGTGTAAAGCAAACAGCAAAGCCCTTGAGACAATATTTGAGGACCCAGATGGGTATCTGTAAGTAGGATAAAACAAAGAGCATGCAAATATATTGCTATAAAGGTCAGTGTTTACCTCACAGGTTTTAATATGTTCCTGTTCCCACTCTGTCCTGGCCTTATCCAGCTGCTCAATGTTCTGTCTGTACACATTCTCTGTAAATACAGACACACACAATAGAAACCCAACAGTTAGGCGAGAAAAATGATAGTCTTCCTCTTTTTCCTCCCATTAGGGTTTTCTTGTGGCTCTTACTCTGTCAAACCCCAGGCCTGAAGTAAGTCATGAGAATGTGTGAGCTTGAAACTGATAGTCAGCAAGTGTGTGTGTGTGTGTATATACACATATATATATGGGGAGGGGGAAGGGGAATTATGTAAGGTATCGTGAGTCCAGGCCATGCCCATCCTTTGACTCAGCCAGTCAGGTAAACCATGCAATGTAGTAAACTTCAGTATGAGCAGTGAGTGCCAAGGCTGAGTTCGTGAACCAGCGCAGAGGTTTGCCAGCGTTGTCCTTTTGGACCAAACACATCGAGTGTGTTTCTGGCTGACGGATGTACCCTTGCTGCTGTGCTCATGCACAGGGAACCCAGGGACTGTGTATCTGGTTTAGGTTGGCTTGGGACAATGAGTGTCCCTGTGCTTTCAAACCTGCTTTGAGAAGAGCTTTTTTTCCTGAGTGAAGTCCTTAAAGATGGTCTGCTGTAAAATCTTTAATGACAGCACGAGACTTGCATGTCCACAAGTGAAATTAAGTGTAGCTGATGGTCAAGCTTGCTTTTCTCTTCACTATAGTGTCTTTGGGTAGATGACATCAGGAAACCTGACTTCAAATAGGGCTAGCAACACTTGATTTGATCGATGCTATCAAAATTAGCATGCTGGTTGATCTTTGCTGAGAAAAAAATCAGTTCTATTGCAAATAGAGTATCACCTGCTTCATGTGCTGCATCTCTGCATTGCTTGGCTTTGTTCTGACTCTGAAACAGGAAAAGAAAGAAACACTTCAAATTAATTTCCTGCATGTTTTGCTCCTGGCACAGTATTCTGCTGTCTTCCTCCCTTTCCTCTTACAGGGTTAAGGCTCCAAGCGCAAACAGTTCTTGGCTGCTCCACCTTTATAATCATAGAATCATTCATGTTGGAAAAGGCCTTTAAGATCATCTAGTCCAACCATCTGCTCTGTTGAGCATGTGCTATGGAGAAGGAGGGAGCAGAATTTCACAGGTGTAGACATAAGTCCACTGCCTGCAGGGGAAATCTGGCAGCTTATATCATTCTATCCGGGGATCCCTGCTGTAGGAGCACACTGCTAGCGTGCTGCAGCCTGAACCTTGTGTCTGCTCTCCAGGTTATTTTCTAGAGTGTCCAAAGTGCTTTTTCAATAGGTATTTATAAGCAGAAATGTCAGTTAAAAATATTCATCTTCCAAGCTTCTCGTGCAATGCATATATGACAAGAATACAGCCTTTAAAATACTTTGCAAATGCCAGACTATTTCCCATAACAACTCAGAAGACTAAAAGCTAAATTCACTCTAAGCAGGATTTTTTGGGTTTTCTTTTTTTTCAATCTGCAGCTTCTAGCAAATGAAAATAAGCACGTTATTGACAGCTCTGTACTCCCAGGTCTTTCTGCACAGATGGTGATGACAGTACATTAATGCACAGCTCTAGAAATCAGGATCACACATCCTTCCCTTCTGCCCTTCAAAGCACTACTCAGGTAGGGGTTCTCATGACCATATTCCTCCTCACAGCTGGCTGGAAAATGTGTAGTAAACTGGAAACATCAGCTTCAATCTTATTTTCTTCCTGGCCCAAATTGTTTGCAAGTGCTGAGCAGAATTAAACAGCTGGCATTTCTTGTGAGATGCCTCTGTGCATTTCAATTGTGCTGGCGTTTGTGTGGAAATAATGGCAAGGAAGCACCCTGGGATTCCTCTGCGTGAAAGGACCTGGGTCAGATTTTGATACCACTGAAGTTACTGAGAGTTCTGGCGTGATTTCAGTAGGGCCAGGATTTCATCACCCCCCTCTTTATGGCAAAGCTGGAAGGTTTAATTCATCAAAGATTAGGGAGCGAGAGAAATAAAATGTAAACTTCTGATGCTGTTTTTAGAGTCTCCTTCCTCCTGCTCCTCGAGATGATTTTTGATCCTTTTTGCTTACACTGCACTTATTTTATCGAGCCAAAGGGAGTTCATTTATTTTGTTTTCTCCATCTGTTCCACTGTAAAATGTTCCCATTAAAAGTTAGCAAATTGTCAGCAACAAGTATCAGAAGATGCAATGAAGGACAGAAGTGCCTTGATTTCCAATGATTTATTTTTGAGTTTGTAAATTTAGATGAAATTAAACTAAGCGTAAGGACAAAAACTGTAGAGAAAAAGATGCATTTTAATGTAAGATACCATGCCTACTAAATGTAAGCAACCAAAAGGCAAAGCTAGCTGCGTGACATACATCTGACTCGCTTCTTTCTCATGAATGATTTTGGAGAAAAATCTCATTCAGATTGCTTTCATGACTTGTAAAGCAAATAGGTCATAGCCTGGGATAAAGAAAACTAATGGGTTAACTTGGTCCTTCCCTTGGCCCACCACAGGACAAGATCAGGGATGGCAAGTCCAGCTGAGTGCTTTGTGAAGGAAGGCCTCCTTGGGAAAGTGCTTCTTCCCATTTTGATTCTAAGGAGTTAATTAGAAGGGAAAGCAACCCCTGGCATCTTGTGGAATGGGCTGTTCAATTGTGTTCTGTTGAACCTGGGAAAAGGAAAAACAGCTTTCTCCCTTTTAAGCATCTGCTGAATAGGTCTGTCTGTCTCAGGTACCTTTTCTGCTTGCTTCTGGTTGCCTGAAGCGCTCATGCGTTCAAAGGACTGCTCGGCCTCATCCGCCTCCTTGCACTTCTGTTCGTAGCTCTTCTTTGACTGTATCCAATTGAAATGAAATCACACGTGAGGCTTTGGGTTAGGGAAAAGGCTGGGCTGTCTCAAAGCTCCTAGAAACTGGAGTTGCTCATCTGGGGGAACAAATCAGCACCCAAGTTTTGGCCAAGGAGAGAATTCCCTGTGACGCCGGGAGGAGATGCTTATTAAAAACAGCACTGAAAAGTTGTAGCAGAGAGGCTAGCGGTGGGAATCAGACCCCCTTTTTACAGCCCTGAATTTCTTTGCTCCGTGTCAGTGCTGCCAGCTCCCTGCCCAGGTGGTCACTGCCATGGGTGCTCTGCACAGATGCAGCTCAGGCACTGTCGGTGCATCCAGTGCAGAGGGACCAAGTTGCAGCTAATGTGCCAGTGAGGATGGGTTGTCATTTCCACAGCGTGACTTGGATTGCCAGGTGGCTGACCCAGCACTCCGAGCTGTGAGACAGAACCAACCATACATAGGCAGCAATCTCAGTAGAGTTCTCAGAAGCAAAAGATATTTTTATTTGCACCAGAAGAACTCCCTGTCTTAGAGCTTCACTTAGAATGATGCTGCATGTAAACTAAAATACTTAGTACAATTCCAGCTGTAGCACTGGCAGGTCTGCAACTGCTCTTTTTCAGAGGCAGTTGCCCATTGGAAACCAAACCCAGCTGTTGCAGTTCCCTTTCCTGTACCTGCAAAACTCCCTGCTGGAAAGGTTTCCTTCTGTTTACAAGGCTCAATTTTTTTAAAGTTATTTTCATAGGCAGGAAAATGAGGTTTTCTCCTATAATTATCCTTGTCTAGAAAGAATCAAATCCAATCTGAACTGTTTCGGTTGATGCTGATTCCACATTTAGCTTTCTGAGTGCTCTGGGAGACTTCACTGGGGGATGCAAGGAAGATTAGCTCCCTCCTGCCAGGAATCCCATCCTCTCCTACACACACATACACTCCTGTGCCAACAGAACACACACACACACACTGCTGATCTTTTTTCATGTGGTACAGTCTCAAGGTGGAGTGAGTTTGCAGAAAACCTCCTTGCTTACCTCCATTGCTTTCTTATAATGGGACAACTTGTTCTTTTGCATGCGCTCCATTGCAGACTCGTACTGTAAGAAACACACAGGAGTGTGAGCATTTCTTTGGACATTCCCCCTTGCCTGCTGGTAGGATCAGGCAAGGCATTGGCAGTGTCTCCCTACAAGCCACGTGCCTGTGCAAAAAATGACTTCACTCTGCTTTTGCAACTGACAGGCTTCTCAGTGACACAGAGAGCATCAGGTAAAAAAAATAATAATAATAATCCAAGATAATTCTACTTCAGTGCTTTCCATTAATAGCAGAGAGGATGTAGGTCTTCATTTTCTCCCTCCCTCACCCCTCCTTTTTTTTTTTTTTTTTTAACCTTAAGGAGATTAATAGTGTAACACCCATCAGTGCCCATCAGCTCTGCTAGCAGAGCTTATTGCTGGTCCAAGAGCTCGATCTCGCATCTTTACAGACCAAACCACAGTCTCGCCCACGTGACCAGGAGTAATTGTCCATTTTGAACTCAAACAGTTCCTGTGTAATTTATATTTTATTGCTTCTGGCAAATTTATGCTCTGTGCCATTTGATTTCCACAACATAATCTGGTCAGCAATGGAAAGACGGTGCTGGGTTTTCTTTTATAGCTTTAATTCTGTTATGCCCAGCCTTGTGTGACCACGAGATATGCTCCTATTTGGCAGGGCATGGGTTTCTTCAGTGGGACTTCTGGTCCTTTGATCTTTACATTCTACTCAAGCAAAACTCCCTCTGGGGTCACCCAGAAGCGTGCTTGACATCAGGCTCATAGCACAGTCCTGATGGCAGCTGCAGCAGATCCAGCACAAACACAGAACAGTGTTATGTGAGATCTCCAAAAATGCTGACACCTTCCAGTATGTCTTAGGTTGACTTCCTCACAGCCACGTGCTGAAGGAGAAAACATCTTACAATGGGTCTCGAGACTCCAAAGGAGTTTTGAGTATTTTTCCAAGCCCCTATAACAGTTTCATTTGAGTTCCAAGCTTATTCTTTTCAGCAGGGAAAAGCCTCTCTCTCTTTACAGATCCTAGTGATGAGATGGGGACGAGGGAGACAAACTCTGATGGCTGGGAGCACGCTGTCTTTGCCTGTGTGATTTGCTGTGCACATCAAATCTCAGTAGTAGCACTGGTTTTACCCCCTGATATTCATAGTTCTGTGCTGCTCCAAGCTCCTGTGTGTCTGGGTTGTGGACATGAGAATGTTGCTGTATTGGATGTTGCTCGTACACATTTACCTTTACTTAACATTGTCCAAGGTCAGGGTATTTGATTATACTGTTCCCTCAATCACTGTTTTCAGTGATGTCAGCTCTTTGTCTTCAAGCCCATGGAACCAGAGGTGTAAGAGTGACCACTTGTCTCCATTGAGAGCTTTTTTGTTTTTTTTTTTCCTGGGGATTTGGAGATAATGAGACCACAGAGCATGAGATAGCTTTGAATGTTCTCTGAACTTTACTGCACAGCATCAACTTGATGCTATTCTAAGTATTCGGCGTATGTTCTGCATTCTGCTTAACAATCATTTTCCTCCTATGATTTTAGATGCATTTGTTATCTCTTTATTTTAGTGCATGTTAGAGATCATGCAGGATCATGCCAAAGCAATGCAATTAGCAAGGATATAAAAAAGAGTAAAGGATGGATTAAGTTCTTACATGAATAAGAATAGCATCAGCAGTTACAGCAGAGGCAGTAAAAGTGACTAAAGCCTCTGCCTCCAGAGTTCAGAGCATTACTTAATTTCCAGCTGGGATTAGAAAGAGGCTTTCTTCCACAGTCTAGTGTGTGGAGAGAGAAGGGTAACTGGGCACATTTCATTATCTTTTGCAGTATTCACAGCCTATGGCTGAAGATGGGCCGTCAGAATGGACCGCTGACCCAACCTGTATCAAAGATTGGCTGGTTCCTCACCTTTTTCCTTTGTTCCTTCTGCCTTTCTCGGAACTCCTCTATTCCTTTCAGTTCATCCTTCAGCATTCCTGCCAGCTGGATATGAGAGTTTCCAACGCTTTCAATTTCTAAAGCAGATCAGAATTCATGTGCAGTCAGTGGAAAGAGGTGAAGTCACATTTTTCAGGAGATATTTCTAAGATCTGGCTGCTACATACAGCTTGCTCCAAACAGAGCAACCTTCAGCAAAGAAGTACATGTAGAAACATGAGGGGTTTGACATTGCTGAGGGTGCTCACAGCCTGAATTGGGCCTACTGCAGGTCCTTTCAGTGCTCACAAGTGATGTGGGCAAGACCCCTTGCTGCAGAATTGGAGCACCTGCTTGGAGCTGTTTTAGCAAGTGTAGGATCTCCCTGCGTTTCTTTCTGGCCCCATTTACTCCAGCCACAGGTGTTGTGGTGGTGGGGGAGGACCTCCATTGTCCCTCTGGTGTCTGCCTTCCCTCCACTACATTCTCTCTGCTTATGGGAGCTGCTTGCCACTTGCCCCAGCACAAATGTCAGCAGGGGAGCTTGCAAGCTGAGAATTTCCAAGGGTCAGCTAAGCTGGATTGCATTTCAGACCATCTGACTGATGCTGTTTGAAATGGCTGGCAGCTTCTCTGCATTTGTCAGCTTTGGTGGCTCTGAAATGAAGCCCTGCACTTTCCAAAACCGTTGAGCTTCTCCCTTCTAGGCTCTAAAAGTACCTTAATTCACCAGCTGCTTCTGAAAGAGTGCTTTTGTTATCTGAACAGCAGGCACCAATACCCAGATAACGCTGTCCTACTGGCTATGACAGTGTGAAAGATTTTAACTCTGCCCTGGGCGCTTTTAGAAAGCATCCTATGGATGCATGTGGATGTTAGTGTCTTGTAGAAAAGGGAACAGAGCTGGTATTTTGCAGCTTGATCTGGAGAAAAATAACTTGAGGAGAAAGCCATTTTCTGTGCCTCTGGGGGCTGCATTCAGTGCCCAGACTTGGAGGATGACGTGAGTGAGTGAGTGAATGTGCTTTGCCCCCCACCCTCCATGCTCTGTAGAGGAACAGATTGAGATGGAAAGGTTAACGATATAAGAGGGAGAGGATGAAAGAGCCCAGAGGGTGCCAACACAGTGTGCCTGCCTGAACCTGGGTCACAAAGCAAGATACGAATACTTACGTTGCTTGAGCTTCTCAAATGCTGCCTTCAGTGTGCTGGGAGATAAAAACAAAAGCGCTTCATTAGCACAGGCTTCTAAGGATGGGTTGGGAATCTAGAGGCAAAACTTTCCCTCAGCCAAAAGATCCTCATAGAAATTAAGCTCTTAACAGCCTTGCAATAAAAATTGACCATGCTAAGAGACAAAAAAACATCAACCTGTTACCCTATGAAATGCAATAAAATGCTCCACGAAGCAAGGAATTGCAGAACTCCTTACGCTCACCCTCTTTTTTTTAATCAGTATTTGTAACTGAACGTTCTGTTCTTCCACATTACCAATGTGTGCAAGTCAAGTGAGTGAAATAAGGGCGGTCAAGGGAAATTGGGCTTCGGAGCACTGGAATGTAGAGAAAGCAACCCCACCCTTCGTGGTAAGTGCAGCACGGTGAATGCTTCCTCCTTGCTCACCCTTGCAGCTGGAGCAGCAGCCTCCCTGCTGTGCTTTCCTAGCACCCCCGCGTGGTGCAGCTCCTCGCCTTTAGGAGATGCAGCACACAGAGCCGAGGGAGCTGATGTTCGCAGCGTGAATGTGCCGTGCTGTGAAATCAGCCCTCAGCACCGGGCTGTGATGTACAGCCTGGAGAGGAGCAAACACTGATGCGATGCTGCTCACCTGGATGGAGGTGCACAGCTAAGGCAGCATAGTGTTGCAGGAGGACGTGAAGGGGTGATTATAGTTCTCTCGTTGTCCTGGCTTTTTGCAATCCAAAGTCCTTTTTAAGGAAGCAGCATGAAGATCAGCAGAGGGGCAATGAGAAAGGAAAGAGCACCGTTTGTGAGTCACCTTCAGTGTAATGATGAGCTCTAGATCCTGGCTGGTAGGCTGGAAGGGTGTCTTCATGCACAGAAGCCAATATTACACTGTGATTTGGAGGTTTTTCAGACTCAGAAACCACCTCCTCAGGCCCTAGGCTGTATGGTTCCCTGAGGGAAAATGTTCTGCAGAGAGTCTCTGACTTCCTCAGGTGGGAGCCTGGGCAAAAACCTCCAAGATCTCCTTGGCTGAACCACAGCTATTAGGGGAGTCCAGAAGAGGATGCGTGTGTCTTCTTAGCCATGTGCAGATGGGCAGGGAAATCCTGCATCTCTTGGCATGCTCCAGGAGATTTAAGAGACACATGGAGGATACAAATAGGTTAATTTAAGATGGGCATCTTTTTCCTAACCATAACCTGCAATACCACGTGGCCAGGCATAAGTAAAGTGCTCAGGTGATGGGAAAGGATGGATCTGTCCTCAGCAGTAACTGCCCTGCGATCCACTTCCAAATCTTTGCTTTTAACAAGTAAACATGAGTGTTCATCTACTTGTTGGGCTCCTGCAGCATCCTCTCAAGGACACATGTATGATAAAATCAATCTGTTTGTGACAGTAATTATCCCAATAATATTTAATCATTTTGAAGTTTCGCTCACTTTTCCTTCTGTACCCTGGTTTGCATAAAATGAATCTAGCGTGGGACTTGAAACAATTTTCTCAACATAAAGGGGAAATAAAGGATTTATTCCAAATCCTTTAATTAAAAGGTCTAGATCAAGTAACAAGTTGGATATCAGCAGCTGAATTAGATTTTTTCCCTACTTACAACCTCCAATGGATTATTTTGAAAAATTAAATGTACACATGAAATAAAATCAGCTTTAAATGTGGACTTTCCAGTGGGAGGTGGAGAACGTGCTAGCAGCATCATCCCAGAAATGAGTAAATACTGAAATTGTAAGAACAGGGGACACTTGCAAACCACACATACTAATTTATGTGCTGTGTTCATCTGTTTTTCCCAGAGATCTTTTCATCAGCGTTGGTGATTCAGGTTTTATACCAAGACTGACAGAGTTGCTGTAATGCATACTGAAAAACAGCTCATCCTCAGTACGTATCAAGGACAAAAGCAGTTTGTTGCTTTTCTGTCGTTGTTTCCAGGCATAAGAGCTACCAGAGTAGTCAGTGATATTAAGCTACACATATAAACTTTTCTTATTTTTGCTGGCTTTCTGTAAGCATTAATCTGTCTTCTGGGACAATAATGCATCTGGCTATGAGCCAGAGAGATACCTGCCTCATGCACAGTATTTAATTGCTAATTCAGAAAGCTCTGGTCTCTTGCTCCTGCTCTGAGATCCAACCAGTTCCCCAGCTGCTGCTTAGGCTAAGGCCATAGTCAGCAGGTAGATTGGAATAGACTTAAGCCATTTCCTTCCTTATTTTTATAATTTTTTTCTGAAATCAATCGATCAGATCCCTTATCTTTATGGGGCCTGAAGGGGTAGCAGATATGTCACTGAGCCTAGTTACGTCTGCAGGAAGGTAAGTAAATCACATCTTGACCCACAGAACCAGCAGGTACTCCTTTATGACTCCTTTATGGGCTGCAGGGAAGCCAGCCCATATGTGCTGGCTGCAGCAGCAGTTCTGTAGGTGAGCTTTTGCTGCTAGGTGCTCTGATTGTATCAGTGAAATATATCATTTCAGTGCTTTGAAGGGTTTATGGCAGCACCTCGTGTAGCAGAAATACACGAGAATTTTAATTTAGATGGCCCTCCTGTGTATATAGTATATATACACAGTGTATATATACTACTTATTACCCATCCCATCTGTGTTGGTGTGACATTTGTATAAGACTGGGAAAGGCTTTATTCCAAAGCATTAAAAATGAAGGTATGTCACTCTTAGGGATACTTGTTCACAGTCTCTTGTCCTTCCAGGATGTGGTCCTGCTCAGCACTGTGGCAATCTGTTGTAGCACCTCTTTGGCCAGCTTGGAAAGCCTGGGGGTTGAAAATAATTCGAGAAAAGCTGCAGTTTGCCTCTTCTCCTCTTTCTTAAATTCCTCACTTCTGGTGTTTCTGTGGCAATTCCAAGCACTTCAGCTACGGACAACACAGCCTTTGCTTTGGGCATCCCTGCATGCGGGCTCCTGCAGGTGTCACAGTTACACGAATTCATCGTGCGTGTTTGTTAAGGCTTCCCCTCAAATGTTTAAAGACTGCATTTGTTAAAACGAGTTTCAGATACAGACAGGATTGCCCCTGAATCTGCAACGATGGGGAACAGCCAGATCCAGAGCAGCGGCCAGTCTGCAGCAACTCCTGGTGATTTTTGCCATCTAGCGGCTGAAACGTTCTTCGTTTGCTGCAGGGTCTCCTTACTCAACTGCAGAGGAATGGAGATGCTGTTGTAAAATAGGCGCTTTTTGGTGCTTGTTTTTTCAAGCGGAGAGGGAGGAAGAGGCTGGCAGGGTTTTCGAAGGAGCTGGGCAATACAGAGAGTAGAAACTCGCTACAAGCACCTCGTTGTTTTACTATTCTTGCTCCGTAGATTTCAAAACACTTTCCAAAGTGGACTTCCCAAATCTACCTGGCAACCCAGGCTCTCTTGGGCACCGACCACAAGGATCTGTGGAATAGGACGCTGGGGCTGCCAGGCAGTGTGCTGCAATGGGGCTCTGCTGCCTTCTTCACAGCCATGAGAGGCTGAATTGATGGCACCAGAGGCGCAGGTAGCTGAGCTCTCGTGACATTGCTCTGCACACAGATATGCTCACTATGTACACTGCTGCACTGCTTTTTGGTGCCACTGCAGGCTCGATGGTTTGGGTGGGTTTTTCCTGTATTTGCCTCCTCCCTCAAATGGAGACTGTTCTGAGTAATTCATAGAGCCCCTTTACGTTTTGACACAGGAAGGCTCTTCTAACCGGAAAACCACAGCTCTTTTTAAATTTCCTTTCTTTTTCTTTTTTTCTTTTTTAGTCTCTGCTTGGTGAATAGAAGTGGAAAATAACTCCACCTTCCTTTAAAACAAGATCATCTTTTCAGTAAGGTTTCATTTCTATGCTGCTCTGTTCTTAGGGTAACATTTTTAACATTCTTTCTGAAGCTGGGAGAAGCCTCTGCCCAATGAAGTTCCCAGAGCAGTTTCCAGCAGTCCTGTTCCAGCTCTGCCGCTGGTAGCTTAGCTTAGTTTCTGATGAAGTGTTTCTGAAGCCAACATGCTGCCAGTCCCATTGAGACCACAGTTAACATCTCTACTTCCTCCTGCCACATAGGGTAGACCCAGTGTGCCATTATTGACACTTCTTTCTGTGGTAGCAAGGTGTGGAGAAACAAATGCAGAAGCATCTGCTCTCTATTGCTTTGCACTCAGACTCTCTGCACTGGGTGTACGTGCAGAGGGCGGCAGTTTGCTTTTAGGCGAGAAGATAACTCCCTCCCATGTCCTAGGCAGGCACGTAGCAGAGTGCTGCATGCAAGGACCCTGTCTAACATCATTTAGTGGAAACGTAGTGCAAGCAAGGAACTCATTTTTGCCTTGGTGTTTGCTTGTTCTCTGAGGATTAATGAGCAGAAATGCAAAGCCACCCAGTGCAACTGGAAAGACTTGTGTGCAGGTCAGCTGGGTGTGATGGCTAAGCCACCTGTGCAGGAGGAAAGGTACAGGCAGCACTTTGCTCTGTCCTCTGCAGTCCAGGAGTCAGTCTGTCTGAATTAGTTAGTACTGTGAGTCATGCCAGCCACTGTGCAGCAGGCTGAGCTCTGTGTTGGCTTGGATGGAGCTTGTCTTTTGTGAAAACAGCGCCAAACACTCTAGTCCTGCGGTGTCTGTGTGCATGTTTTGCACTTGCTACTTACTTGAGTACTTTCACATGAGTGTGAGAAATAGGAGCAGCCCCAAGCTGACTGGAAATGGGGTTGCATCATTCCCAGGGTTGGCCTCTGCACTAATCGCACCAGACTTCGCTGGAACAAGGGAGCAAACCAGAACCCTTATGAATCCAGGGTTATCTATCAGGCATTCAAACCAATGGATTAAAAACATCGAAACAACGTAGGTGCTTTAACATAAAACTGAATTTCCTCATCTCCTGGGAAGAGAACAGCGCAGCATTTGTCCTGGACACTGGTGAACTTATCTAGCCTGGGTTTAATAAGAACTGAGCAGAGGTTTAGGTCTTTCATGTAGATGCTTGAATTTGTTTTCGCAGCATCCTGAAAGCTCAACACACACATGAGTGTATAAACCCTGTACAGCTTCAAAACATTCAATTGGAAAGTATCTAACAACAGAAGAGTGTGACCTTCCAAAATGATTTTTAGCCTCAGTTCAGAAATGCTTGCTTTGTGAGAACAGTACAGATGTTTCTGTGTATTACATGACAGACAGCCTATATTTGTACACAGGAAGCAGCAGCCTGGCATTTTGTTACAGATGCCCTCACCTTGTATTCTCTGAAACTGCAGAGAAGGGCAGAGCAGGAACAAGCTTGAAGGAACTGCCCTTTCCCAGGGTCTGAAGGAGATGTTAGTGGAAAAGAAGGAAAGAAAAGCAGAAGGATTCATATACATAAGAAGAGACAAGCAGGGCAAATGACAAATATAGCTGTTGTCAGACTGGGCAGAATTTAACCAGCTCCTGCATGTTTACATCAGTTGCTTTACAGAGGAGACGAGTTCCCAGAGGCTCTGTTTCAGCTGAAGCAGAGGACGTGCCTGAAAACTGGGCTCTGTAGTATATTTTTTATCATATTTTTCTGCTGAAGAGTTGCCCAAAGCTGTTGCACAGAACCTTGCAGGATGTTTCCTCTCAAAGCGTGAGCTCTGCTGAGAGTTATCTATTGTGTGTCAAAACATTGCAGATTTGGTCCCTGTTTATAACTTAGCTGAAAATCCCACTTTCTGTGCATCCTGTCCCATGTGTGCAGCACAGGATATGAGGCTACAGAAATATATGGCAGTTTAAGCATTGTAAAGTGTAGGTCCCTCTCCTTCATTGGCTATGGGTGTAACCTGGCCTTTGCTGAGAAAGCAGGGCTGTAGCTTTGTAATCATCCTTTTCATAGTTTGTTTAATAATTAGAGACTAGGAAATATTGATTCATGTATGTGTGTCTCTATATACAAGCTAAAAAAGTGGGTTAACAGGGCTTTAAACTTAACAACAAGTGGAAATGAAGACATTTGAACGCCTGCTGTAGGGGTCCTGCTTTACAGGGGGGTTGGACTCGATGATCTCTAGAGGTCCCTTCCAGCCCCTACAATTCTGTAATTCTGTGGTTCTCTCCTTTAGCCCTGAGCTCCGACAGATGAGGTCTATTTCAGGGCAGCATCCATCACTCTGCTGTGACTGCTGTGGTCCCCTCACCTTGCCCACTCCTCAGGGATGCCCTGTCCCCTCCCAGGTCTGCAGACAGCGTGCATCTGCAGCTGTGCTGGGACACCCAGTGATTACCTAAAAGAAGCAGCTTTTTCCTTCCTTTGATGATGTTATGCTGCTCTGTGTGTTTGTAAGGCCTAAAAAGAGTGGGACTGCAGCAGCATACCAGTACAGATATGCCTCAAGAAACCGCACGACAAGATGCTAAACTGCTTCTGTTAGGAATGTCTCAGCTGACATGATAAGTGTGGTGGGGCAGGTTAGAAATGAACACAGAAAGAGGCCCTTAATGGGAAAGTGCACTGTTTTGCTATAAGACTCAGTGGCTGCTAACGTGTTTTAGGGTAGATACAAGAAAGCTCCATTGGGGGCTATTTGATACAAAGCTGCTGCTGGCTTGGCAGCCTCTGACCCACCAGGCGTTAAGATTATTTAGGAGAAATATTTTGTGGATCTAGTGTTGAAGACAAGGTACTTAGCAGAACAGATTTTGATCTAAGCTTGTGAGACCCTTCTTGCAGTATTACGTGTCGATTTAGACATGTGCACCCTTCTGTATACTGAGGTGAACTTGCTAGGACTTTCGGTAAATGCTAAGTGAGATCCATGCTGAGTGTCAAAAGAGGATTTCTCCCTTTCCTGTAGGAAGTAGCTCCTACCAGCTGCAGTGCTCGAGGCAACAGCAAGCAGGCAGAATGTCTACAATTGCTTGAATTAGGCAGTGCTACTGAGTGATGGTGAGCCTTGGCTGTTAGGCAGCCTTTCAGGGAGCTTTCATTTCTTGTGCTGGAAGCTGCAGTATTTGTTTGCCATGCCCATGGTAACCGGCATCAACTCATTTTAGAAGCACTGCTTTTGCTTTACTTAAAAGAAAGGAGAGAAAAAATGGTTGTGGTGGCACATCTCCCTCTCTGACTTTGTTTTGATAGCAACCTCTCTCTAGCTGCAGGCTAATCTCAGCCATTTCCTATACTGGTGTTAAAAAGCAGCGAGGACCTGACAGAAAGAGAATTGCACCTCTGGCGAGCAGCTCTGTAAGCCTGTCCCCTGCTGGCGCTCAGCTCAGAGTGATGTCCCCATATTTTTGTCCCCATTACGTGGCCGTAACGTGGGTTTGCTGCAGAGGCTTTGCTCCACACAAGCACAGCTGCTCACCTCGGCTTTGTGCCATTTCTCTCCTGCCCTGCTTTCCCTGACCGTGCTGGAATGATGGGAGGTTTCTGGAGCCGATTCATTGGGTTGTTTATAATGTGCTAAACAGAATTAATTGGCCTTGCAGTTGTTTCTCTTAGGTCTTCTGTGTGTTTTCTGACTCTGGAAGTTTATGGGTGGTTGTTGAGGATGGATGATCTTCCTTTTCTTTATCAGCCTTTTAGAAGGATACCGGCACCTTCCTGATATTAAGAGCCACTGGAGTGTGAAATGATTTCCCAGGAGAAGTGACAGAATGCCTTAGCAACAGAGATATTTAAAAGATGACTGAATTTCAGACCAGAGGATAATTCTGCATTAGCAAGGAAATGAGTAAGTGATCTAAAATGAGTAATTTTTGCTCCTCTGCGATACATTGCATGGCACAGGGAGTTCTGCAAAACGTTCTGAAGAAAAAAAAAAGGAAGCTAATTTTTTTTCCTGGTGATTGCCAAACGCAAGTTTTAGGGACTAATACCTGCACAACACCTTAGTTAGACTTCATTTGAGAGATATTGCTACCCAAGGATACATACAGAGATGTGAAAGTCCTTGTTCAGCCTGCCAGGTAACTATAAAACTACTGGCATTCAGTGAGCTACCCAGTAGTGGGAGCCATATAAGGGGGAAGCACTGGGGTAATATGTGGGGCCAGCTGTAGAACGGGCTTTCCAAGCTTTTCTTTTTGTTTTGCTTTTTTTTTTAAAGGTAGTACATGTGTTCCCTGCCTCTGGTCTCTCTGAAGGACCAGCCTTGGGGCAGTACTGCTTTCAGTGACACATGGCATCTAAATAAATACAAACTACGCACCAGGTCAAAAATTTCAAGGCATCAAACCAAATAGTTCACTTCCATGAATAGTTCCAGTACCAAATAGACCCCTTTTTTTTTTCTTCCTGATTGTAAAGCACTGACTGGACAAATGTCATTCAGTGTGTGACTCCAGAGGTATGCTGAATGACAGAAAGTCAGGTGGGCTCCCTTTGCTTCAGAAATAAGCACAGTGAGACACTTGCTGTGAGAGCAAAAGAATAATCTGCTCAGTGGTGGCCACTACCCAGGCCAGGCATGGCATTATGGAGACACAGCAAATCAGCTTTGCAATGTGTTTTGTTGGTATATTCAGCCTTCTATCTATGCCAAGCTATAAAGCATGGATCAGACCGGATCTGGGCTTGGTTCCAAACCTCCTCCAGCTTCAGGGGAGCATGGATTAATATTCAGCCCTGGGGCTTGGTTCTGCCTATAAATCAATCTACTGTAATTCCTTAGGAAAAGTCAGACCTGTGAATTATCCACAAAGTCACAGAAGAGAAGCCAAAGCTCTGTGTCTGAACATGTTTCCTTCACCTGCCCTGAACAGCCAGTAAATAAATCCAGGTGGAGCCTTTTGGTAATTCTGGATTGCTAATGTGAGCATTTGCAGGAAGCAAATTAGCAGGAAGGTGCAAGTTTTCCCCAGCAGCCTTTGGTAGGGTTCTTGTACCCTAAAGCACAGTTCAAAGCAAGGCAGAGATAAAGCAGCGAGAGACTTGCCTGCGTTCTGGACTTGAGCCTCAGCACTCCCCATTACCAGGCCTTTGGATTAATGTGACAGCTTCCCTGCCTCTCTAGATATGCCACCACATTGATAGTAAGTGCTACAGGGGATTGCCTACAGCTTGCACGTCCTGATGGTGAAAAGGCTTGAGGTCAAGTTTTCCAATAAGATATGAGCAGGAAACCATGCTTACACCAACAGAGAGTAATAAACAGGTGTAAAAAGGAGATGGCAATTAAGAAATGAGATACAGGGCAGATGAGGGATCAATAAAGTTGTTTTGTTTAGATTGAGGTCTCTTTCAGGCCTGTCTTCTGTGATCCCAAATATTCATCCTTTTCCACCTTCTTACTGTATTACTACTTGTTACATTAATGACAAATACGTCTCATTATTGCTGCTACCATCAGTAATAGCAGCAGTTTATCAGCAGTGTTTATTAAGTCAAATTCTGTGCCAACATAAATCTTTCCCTCCCAACACAATTTAATGTCATCTAAGCTAGTAGTGCTGGAGACAGTTAGCTCTGCTGCAGCCTGTCAGGGTTTGCTAGGCATCCCAGACCTGCCAGCCTACCATCCTAAGCCTTTACCAACAGCTTCCTTTTCCCTTTTCCCTGCTACTTTGCTTGCTTTTGGAAGCTGAAATGAATTTTGTTTTTCCAGCAAAGACCTATTGGCAATTCCCAATGGAGGTATTCCAAGTCCTGCTCTGAAGAACCGTGCTGGTCCCCCATTTTTTCTGTGAAGCACTGGGCAACTCACTCACGTGAGCAGCTCATGACCCTGTCCGTAGGCAGAATGCAGCTGTTTGATATTTGATACTGCTTCCAACGCAAATGTGTTAGTACCAAAAATAGCAGAATTCCTTACTTGATTTCTGTTTGTCCTCCTGCTTTTCGGGCAATTTGAACCAGCTCCTTCCCGTACCTCTCTTCTGCTTGAGCTCTGTTAAAAGAAAAGCTTTCTCAATTTCTCCTAGTGGTAGCAGCATCGTGTTTACAAAGCTCTTCTTGTAATTGCATCTGAGGTAGGAAATGTGAGAAATAGCATTTCCTTATTTCTTCTATCTTCATTTTCTCCATCTCTTCTATTCCAGTGCTAGCAGTTACCTCTAAAATATTTTGGTTGAGCTATTTCTAGAAGAAATGAGAGAAAACAAATGCTCATCTTCATGACTTTGATCAGACTATGGATTCAGCCAGAAGATGATGCATGAAGGGAAATGTAATGAAGATGCTCAGGAACCTCTTTTGCAGAAGAAAGCTAAAATGTGAGGGCTGACTTGGTGGCCAAAGTGAAGGCTTGGAGGGAAGGAAGAGTGGGTGCCAAAGGATCTCTTCAAAAAGAGGTTGTGAGTGAGTGGGAAGTGGGAGTAATAGGAAAGCACTGGGTACATAAGATGCTTTCTTGAGTGCTGCAGTGGAGGCAGAGGGGGAAGTAACTGTGCTGGTTATAAGGTGAGGCCCTTCAGTTTGGGATGGGGGTGGGACGACGATGTGATGCAATGCCTCACCTAATGGGGAACTGTAACTCATGACTCAGGAAAGTGGTTCTGTTTCCATGGTTAATAAAGGAATAGAATGATTTCTTGACTGCTTTCCCCTCCCCCAGCTCCAGAAGAAGTTTCTCATCTCTTTGAAAAAAGATTTATTTATTTTTTTTCTCATAAAATGTTTTAAAACCTGTGTGTAAGGCCAAGGCAGAACTGGGTTTTCAGCCTTTTTGCCTTTTTGTAGCTGCTGAATACTGTCGAATGGTCAACACAGATAACAGCGTGGTTAGGATGATTATTATTTTACGTTTTGCTTAAGGTAAGTCCAGTTCTCAGGAGTGATTTTGAAGCGTTCCATAGGCTTTTGAGCCTGTGACTAAGCACCTTGGAGAGACACATTATTTGTGCAAAAGAAGGAATTGTGATGCAGGCATCACAAGTGAAAGTTGTGCAGTCCCACTGCTTTGTTCTCAGACCTGCCTTCCTGCTCAGCCCCTGAGCTTGATAATTGCTACACACTGAGCTCAAGCAGTTTGCTTGGGGTGAGACTTCTGGTACTGCCACAGAGAAGCTGTTTGGGTGCATCTCTGTTTGAGAACATCTGACTGCACCTTTGCATGTCGGTCTGTGTGTGACACCTAGCTTGCAGCTAGCTGGACGTGTGGGCTGGTGCTTCTGGTGAAATCTCACATGCAGGTTTGCAGCTTTATGTGCAGCATATTGAGGCAAACAAGAATGGCCAGCTCTTAAGCCAGTCCCAGCTTTTGCAAAACCATTGTGTCAAATCTTTCTCAGACCTCACCCCAGACTGTGCTAGCTTAGAGTCAGACAGGTCTGACAGGTTGCTGACATCTTTTCACTACTTGGTGCCATCTTTCCCACTTTCTGATGCTCTTGCATGCAGCTTTTGGGTTTCCCTGCAGCAACCAACAGCTGGAACGTGTTTTGTTTTAAATCTAGGGCTTTGTTATGAAATGTGACCTCTTTGTCAGTGCCCAAGCTCCTCAGCTCTCGGCTGGATCAGGCAGGGCTATTGTGAACAAAGGTAACTGATCAGGGTGGGAAGCTGGAGTCCATACAGCCGGGGCAGAGGTGCCAGCACTCAGGGCAGCTGCTGCAGGGGCCCTTGTTGAAATTCTGGCACCAAACCCAAGAGACAGATAGAGGGCCTGTGTACACTCACTGCAGTGGTTTGGGGTGTACAAACACTCATGAAAACACCCTGTTCTTGCAGTGTTCAGATCTGCAAAATGACTCTAAATGTATTTTTTCTCCTCTGCGGAAAGTCTTTTGTTGCCTCTACCACAAAGCAGGAAGAACTTTGTCCTGCAACTCGCAGCAAAACCTCTAATACGTTTTGAACCATAGGCAAGCGTGGCATCAGATGTGTGCTGCAGTGCAGAGCTGCCTGAAGCCTGCAATGCAATTCTGATTTCTGTAAGTTATGAGTCACAAAGGAGCTATTTTAAGCAGATAAAGTGAAGCTACAGGCAGGCTGATGTGACTTCAGGACTCTGTGACATGTGGCAATAAAATATGCTTCCACTGGTGATCAAGAAAAGCAATTCAAATAGCTTTGGATTTTGATGGGAGACTCTTCACACTTGGAAATAATGAATTTTCAGTTTGACAGCTCACATCCCCGTGAAAGTTCCACTGCTTGAAAAGTAGCCTTTAGAAAAGCAACCTAAAACCAGAAAACTGGATGGGGCAGCGTGGGAGGAAAAGGGAGGCTGTGGCTGGGGAAGGCAGAGCGATATTCATACAGAGGCAGGATCACCTGCTGAATATATAATTCATAGTGTGGAGGCTTCCTAGCAGGTCATACATGAGTTCTGTGCTTCACACTGCACATTGCTACTGTTTGAAACTCAGCTATCTCAAAACAGAACCAAATCTAAATCTTTTTTCTAAGTCAGAATTACAAAAATGAGCGGCGAAGTTGGAGCAGCTGTGTAATATTTATTTTCTCACCCAGAGAAGTGTTAGCTGTGCACAGCTGTTGCTGAGGGGCTCCGAGGAGTGTGTAAGGATGGAGATAAAGCACACTACTGTTACTCAAATTCTGGTGAGGGGGGCAAATGATGCAGGATGTTCTGAGGAGCTGGGAAGGACTTTTGGTAGCATCTTGCAGAGCTTTATCTGTACTTGAAAAATGGCCCTTTTTTATAGTTACAGGAAGCTGAAACACAGCATGCGGCCACAGCACGTTTAATGAGAAAGAAAAATGTACAAGTCATTAGTTTCCTGTTGAATGTGGAAACTTGGTAGTGCTTCTTGCTGTGGATTTGTGTTCTACTAGAGTATTACGGTCCGATAACTACCTGAGCCTTAATGAAGCTCTGGATTTTTGATCCTATCATCCCTCTCTTCTCTCCTTAAACTTTTGAGGTTTCTTTGGATTATCTACCTTCACAAATCATGTCAAAATGCTGGAAAATTATCCGTGGGAGAAAAGCTATGTTAATATATGCAGGTCTGCCTGCAGCAGGGCATTTGGACCTCGATGGTCCTTGAGATCCCTTCCAACCCAAGCCATTTTGTGGCCAGATGACTTTATAATCCCTCTCCTAGCCCATCTCTATCATTCACCTTGTCTCTTCCCTCATAAGATATAACTGGCGTAAAATTCTCATTTATTTTGTTTCGTTTTCAGAACTTTATACTTGGAGCTGTCTAAACAGCCCTGAGGAGTACAGGCCCAGGAATGGATCACCACCTCAGTGGTTTATTTGACCACCTTTGGTCGCTCAGCAGCTGTGACCACTTTAGGATTCACCTCAGTTGGGCTTTTCTAGACGAACCAGTGCCATTATTGAATTCGGCAACAGCCTTACTATGTCTTTTGGGATGCACAGTGAGAGACAAAATTGTGTCTGTTCAAGCTTTTTGCACCCAAACTTTCTCACCTTTGCTTAAGCAAATCCTCCACGTCTTTGCACATCCTCCTCCCATCCAGCAGTCGCTGTACGAGCACCTCGAAGCCAGTGTGTAAGGTGAACTCCTTGCACTGAGGACAGAAAGATGAAGAGATTAGATAGTTTGTGCACAAAGCTTACAGGTCTAGGAGACACTTACCGTCAGTCATCTGAAACAAGTCCTATTCCTGGAAAATCCAAATGTACCTTTAGGTTTGCCCTGGGCAGCAGCAGCCAGAGCAGAGCTAAAGGCGCTGTAAAATCTTTGTTTAAATCCAGATCATTTTATAATAATGAAGAAGTGAAGTGAGTCCCACATTTCGCTGTGCCAAAAAGCTGTCATTTGGAGGAGTCCTGCTGAGCATTGGGTGTGGGATTTATGTGCAGTGGCTCCTCTTCCTCTGCGTCAGTCACCTCACCGCTGTGCCTCCTTAGCTGGTACAGAGGTGTTGGTTCTTTCCCTTCACAGTGTCTGATGGGTTGCTATGGTATGGCTTTGAGAGAAAAACAATGCTGATGACACGGCAGTGTTTGAGCTGTTGCTGAGCCGGCAAGCAGTCGACTGGCTGGACATCAGTCAGTGAGTGGTGAGCAATTGCTTGTGCATCACTTGTTCTGTGTGTATTATTATCATTTTGTGTGTGCTATTATCATCACTATTATCCTTTTTTCCTCTTCCTTTTGTGTCTTATTAAATAGTTATTATCTCAACACACGAGTTCTACTTCAGGCTTTTTCCATTCTCTTCCCTATCCCCCTGGGAGTGGAGGGTGAATGAGTGGCCATACAGTGCTGAGCTGCTTTCAGGGTAAACCAGCACCACCGCAGGGCTCTCAGTAGGAGTGACATGCTGTCTAGATGCAGGTGGCGAGGTGACAACCTTGGCATGTGCAGTGGGGAGAAAGGAAAGAAAGTAGGATGATGGTTCACGTGGCTCTACCAGCAAAGGGTCTGCTCTACAGAGCCAGGCAGAACAATAATGTAGATAACAGGTGATGGAGAGTGTGCAGCGGACCCACTCTTATCACTGTTGTAACAGTACTCAACTGATGATGGGATTACACATGCTCATCTGACACATATAATTACCCTTTATGAAACAGGATCTCAAAACCAAAACATCCGTTTCCCTCCTGTTTCAAAAGGCTAGTTACAGACGTGGGCCCTGAGAAGCAATCTTGCTATGAAATACATGAAAGGAGGAAGGCAGAAAGGTTATTGCTAATACCCAGGCAATTTTATTTTTATTTTTTGAGAACTTCTCAAGGGCAGATGGTGTTGCTGCTGTAAAACCTCTCATTAATCACTCACTCTGCCTGGCAGAAACCACTCAGATGTGCCACAACAAGCTCGCAGCACAAAAATTTTGATTGCATATTTCCAGATGCAATAAGCTATATCCTGTGGCTGTGTGCACAGCTCCCCTGTCACAGAAATGCTGCCCGTGGGTTATTATACGGGTCTGTGTCACCCCAGCAGGCAGGCGTACTGCTACAAGCAACCAACAGAAAGTGAAAAGTGCTCTATCATGTTACTTTGCTGTTTCTGCACAACATATCTCTGTACAACAAATGCTAAAATCCACTGTCTACTTCTTTTAAACTGGTGCAGATGGTGTAATGAAAGAGTAGCAAATGCTGCATATCAGTGAGCCACCAACAAATTCCCTAAATGGAGAATGCAATGCCTATTCATTATTAGGCCCAAGCTCAGTCTCTCTTCCTCCCCCAGTCACCCACAGATGCAGCAGGGTGTCTGCTGGTCATTCGAAGGACCTGAGAAAACTACTAATGGACTTGATTCAGCCATTTGGACACCTCGTTCCAACCAAAAAAACACAAGGGGAAGAAGTCATGCCGTTTTAAAAACTGCACCAGGGTCCGCTCTGCCGTGGTGACCGAGTGAATGAATTTTGCAACGTGTCTAAGCAGAGAACCTCACTTCTGCATTAATAGGTCCTTTCAAAGCTGTGCTGCTGTGTCTGGCACAGCCATGCTTTCTTGTTGGAGCTCTGCACATGGGCCTGCCTCCAGGACACAAGCTGCTGGGTTTGTTCTGGTATTAAAGGGACAATTTTGTGCTGCTCACTACTGCTTAGGACCGATTCTGTCTTCCATCATTTTGCCTTCCAGTCTCATTACTTCAAAGACCTCAGAAATGCAAAAGACAGACTTTGCCCATTATAAATACAGGAATGTTTTAGCCGTTTAAAAGAGAGATCTTTCTGTACGCATTAACACAAAATCTGCAATAGCACTTGCACGTTCCCAGATCACAGGGTTCCTGCCAGGCAGGACACAGGAGCAGTATGCTCAAGGTTTGTTCTGCACATCCACATGCATGTACATGAAGCACAAAGCAGCCAGTACCTTACCTGACAGCTCTGCTTCCTGCTTGCTGCCTGCAAGTATGATTTGAATATGTTGAAAACGTATCTGCTTTCTCTTACCCCAGGCTCAAATGCTATCAGATACCTCCAGCACAGCATTTCATTCTACAACAACAGCTGCTCCCAGACCATCCTTAATGTTTGATGCTGGTATCTGCAGCAAATAGATTGCATGAAATCAATCCCGACGCTGGCTCTCAGAACCCTTCCTCCAGCTCTGCCATTCCCATTTCAGCACAGCCACCAGCCTCTTCTTCACCCTCTTCACACTCCTTGTTCTCCTTCTGTGTCTGTTCAAAGTCCTGCTTTGTCTTTCTTCTCTGGTTTTTTAAGGATCTCCTAGCAATACAACTGATCTCACGTTTTCTTTGTCAAGACAGCAAGACTGTATCATGTTAGAACAACTCTTGAGCCTTGATGAGCTGATTGGCCCTCATTCTATTTTCCTTTTACTGTTTTGTGTTATAATTAGTGTTTGTGTCAATTGATTTTTGTAGTGGCAGTTGAAGTTGCAATGCTCAGCTGATGCTTGGGCACCTCTCAGCTGGGACTATGTGATGGTTGTAAGAAATGATGAATAGTCAGAGGACATTTGGGTGGGTTTTAATATAAATTAGATATTCCTTTTTAGATAAGGATATGGTTAGATAAGGATATTCCTTATTAGATAAAGAGTACATTCATTAAAGCTGTAAAAGTAAGAGTTTCACTCAGAGAGTGAACTGAAACAGGTTGCCCAAGGAGGCTGTGGATGCCCCATCCCTGCAGGCATTCAAGGCCAGGCTGGATGTGGCTCTAGGCAGCCTGGTCTGCTGGTTGGTGACCCTGCACACAGCAGGGGGTTGGAACTGGATGAGCATGAGTGGTCCTTTTCAACCCAGGCCATTCTGTGATGCTATGAAAACGTCAATTGTTCTGTTACTTAGAAGAGAGCAATTCAAATTGCCCCCAATAATTTGTTAACATTGCCAAGTAAGTAATTTACTCAAGCAAAGCACGTGCAACTGTGAAAGAGGATTTATTCATTGTCACTTTAATAAAAAGGATTAGTTAATCCATGCTGTCCAACAGACCTGTAATAACAAGTAAGAAGAGCATTTGACAAAGGGCTATCAGTGTTGCAGGCAGGTTTATACTGCTCTGAGATTTTTCCATTAATCCTTCATGTGTACTTGGGTCTCTGCCTTGGAGCCAGGGGTTTTGCTTCTCATCAGGAGAATCACAGCTAAAGCAGAGGCAGCATTTTGTTGCTGTGCCTGTTCACAGAAGTTGCCTCCTGCCAGTAGTAGAGGTGATGCTTTTCCCTCAGAAATAGAGCAACACGGCTGAAAGCACCAACTTTATACTGCTGTTTACCCAGAATAGCTTTTCCTAGCATACTTGAGAGGAGGCAGGAAAGGCTGCAAACTGAAGCTGCCAGCAAGTGCACTAGGATATACCTTCTTCTTATTTTTCCTGTGGCATAAAGGCGCTGCTCCTTCATGTTACTGGTGTTACCAAAACAACTGCGTGCATTGGGACTGCAGTTTTCTGCAGAAGTTTTCCCATAGGCAATCATGCAAGTAACCATTAGGAGTTAATTGTGGCAGAGAGTGGCTGGCTCTGAGCTACTTCTGCAGCCATTAGGGCTCTGGGAACTTTGGTAGTGAAGGCTACAAGTGGGAGGCCTGATGGTGTCAACGCCCTGCCCAGGGCAAAGATGGCTGAGCAGCAGCATGGCTTGTCCTTCCTTCCTGCTGGCTAAAGGTGAATCACTTTGTGCCAAGTCTTAGGGCTCTAATTAGCTGAGCACTGGCTTTGCAGTGCCTCTCTTATGAGCCCAGTGCTCAGAAGGTGTCTGCAAGGCTCTCTGATGAAAGTCATGAGAGTGCTATTGCAATAATATCAAGAAGCAAAGACAAACTGTTTTACTGGTAACTAAAGCATGAGCTTGTGAATAGCTGTTAGAAGTTACCGGACTGAAGCAAAATTGTCCATGCCTTCATGCAAAAGCTAAATCGTGCAACCTTATTTGTCCACCCGCTGTTATTCAGGAGGTGATGTGGATTATGTCACTGGGGTTTTGCAAAATAAGGGAGAGCAGGCAGGCTGAGGTTAGCAGTCTACTTTTCTTTCGTTTCTTGTAAAACTACCCTTTGCACTATAGAAACATGAATTTGAGGGTTATAGAGTGCTCTCTTGGGACCTTTCGTTATCATTTCAGGAGTTGACATGGGTATCTTTTAAATGAGGCTTAGTTTGCAATTACACTACTGTCTTTGTTACCTAAGTCTGCAATGCAGTATTTTCCTGGGCCAGACAGCATAGATGCGTATCTTGAATGATGTCTTCAAAAATCAGAGAAGAAAAAAAACATTGCTTTTGTAGCATTCCAATATACCAAGTTGATAGATTGCTATCTCACACTTCTCTGTCTAGCGGGGTAGGCTGGAGAACTTAAAATGAAGGCAGAGATTCTCATCAAATTTCAATTCTGCAGGAGCTACAGTGTAAAACAATAAATTGAAATTGATATTTCACAAACTCTGCAGCAGCATTGCACAAGTGGTGGCATTGAGCAACTGGTTGCTTCTCTGTTGTGTTTTGCTCCCTATGACACTGTAGATTTTTGCAGAGAAGGAAATGGTTGTTCTGCAACAAGAGGAATTTGCTCCTCAGCTTCCTGTGCCCTCGCCCTCCTCACTCACATCCTGGGTAAGGTGC